TATTATTATTATTATTATTGTTGTTATTATTATTATTGTTATTGTTATTATTATTATTATTATTATTATTATTATTATTATTGTTATTATTATTAATATTATTATCATTATTATTTATATTATTATTATTATTATTATTATTATTATTATTATTATTATTATTATTGTTATTGTTATTATTATTTATATTATTATTATTATTAATATTATTATCATTAATATTTATATTATTATTATTATTGTTGTTGTTGTTATAATTATTGTTATTGTTATTATTGTTATTATTATTATTATTATTATTATTATTATTATTATTATTATTATTATTATTATTATTATTGATATTATTAATGATAATAATAATAATAATTATTATTATTATAATAAATATAAAAAACTAAAAGCAATGTGTTGTTGCCTGATTTATTTAGCGTTTGTTCACAATATTATTTAGGGTTTGTTCACAAATAAATGAATTAAGAATAGATATTGTTGTTGTTATTAGTAGCAGGATTCAACATAACAATTTTAATGACACTTACATGGTATGATCTGGAGGAAGAAGAAACTGGTCCATATAAACTGTAAAAGTTACTGACAAAGTCCCTGTCAAAGTCTGACAAAGTCCTATAGTCTCTGCTGCTCCTTCAATAGCAAACGGCCGGCGAGTCCGCAGTAGGTTATCGTATCAGTCATCAGACAAATGACAGGAACAAACACCCCGCTAGGCTGGCTATACTGTGGTGTTGTTGTAAATATGAACTTTAACACTTTATTCCCTGCAGCTGAGTCTCCATCTGTCAGTGATCATCATCTGCAGTCCTGATCAGTCCTGTGATTCCCCCGTGCTCTGCTAGTGTCTAACGGGAAAGCGCGTTCATGTTCTACTGGATCTGGTACTACATATTTGGTGATGTACCATGTCGATGTTGATGTGTTCAGGCAAAAGATCCGAACCCAACTCGATTCATTCATTCGACTCTGACTCAACTATTTCGCTAAAGAAGAGCTTCCCATTCAGTTTCCTATAGGAGAAATGAATAATAAACAGAAGACAACGGTCAAACTACTCCCTCTACTAACAAGTGTGTTGATGACTATACATGAAAAGGAGAAAAATATAAGGAGAAAGATTCAGTTTGCAACCTCAATGAGCTGTTTTTACCATCTAATAATCAATGGAAGCAAATGAGAGCAAAAGTCTGGAGCCATAAAGATTTTAATGACTGAAGAATAAGGTGAATAGTGTGCTGATGGTTTGGTTTGTTGTTTTCAGGCCAGCAGTCCGATGGCGGTGCGAGCGGGGCAGTGGAGCAGTATAAGCGGGCGTTTGCTCGTCAGAGAGCCAGAGATCTGGCACAGCACGCAGACACACTCCTGAGAAAAGATAAGCAGATCTCATCACTGTGCAGACAGCTGGAGACGCACACCGGGCAACACAAGGTAAACACACACTGACTTACAGAAGAAACAACAAACTCTCTACATTTTATATAGCTGAAAATGTCAGTTTCATCAATGCATCGTGATTCTTTCTCTGGTGATTCTGAATCGATTCCCAAGAATTCTGAATTGATTCTGCATTGATTCTGAATGTAATATTCAAATATAAATTTACATTTGAATTAAATATGGTTAAAAGCTATATTCTTTAATGAAGGAAACAGATTACGAAAAAGATTGATTCATCAATGCATTATGATTCTTTCTCCAGTGATTCTGAATCAATTAATAAAAGTTCTGAATTGATTCTGTATTCAAATTAAACAAAAATGTGAAATATATTAAAGATAAAAAGTACAACAGATTCATCAGTGCACCGTGAAGATATGTGTAAAAATAAATTATTGAAAAAAAATCTTTTTAATGAAATAAGATTAGAAAAAAATTTTTTATTCTTTCTCCAGTGATTCTGAATCAATTCATAAAAGTTCTGAATTGATTCTGTATTCAAATTAAACAAAAATGTAAATGAAATTAAAGATAAAAAAAAATGTAATCGATTCATCAGTGCATTATGAAGATATATGTAAATAAATCAATTATTTTTAAGAAATCTGCTTTTTAATAAGAAATAAGATTAAACTTATCACAGCATTGTGATGCTATCTCTAGTGACTCTAAATTGATTATCAAAGGGTCTGAATTGATTTTGTATTCAAATTATGTGAATATGTTTATTACATTAATGATAAAAAATATCTTCAAATGATTCATCAAAGCATCGTGATTCTTTCTCTGGTGATTCTGAATCGATTCTCAAAAGTTTTGGAGTGATTCTGCATTCAAATTAGGTCATGGCTGTGCGTTTCTGTCCGGGCGTGAACTACAAACAGAAAAATATTAAGCTCTGCCAATGCCTGTATGTATGCTGCTGAATTTGGACAAAGATAGACATCATTTTAAAGACGTGGCAGGGTCATAGGCAGGGCCAGACGGAATCTGCGGGAGTTTTTTTGCTATTTCTGAAGAGAATTTTGGTAAAAATCTGCCAATTTCTACTGAATTATTTTAGGAGTATCGTAAAACCTTAATATGTGAAATAAAAAAAATAATAGGTTCATTTATTCATCTTCTTGTCAGCTTAGTCCCTTTATTAATCTGGGGTCGCCACAGCGGAATGAACCGCCAACTTATCCAGCATGTTTTACGCAGCGGATGCCCTTCCAGCTGCAACCCATAAATGGGAAATATACATACACACTCATTCACACACATACACTATGGGCAATTTTAGCTTACCCAATTCACCTGTACCGCATGTCTTTGGACTGTGGGGGAAACTGGAGCACCCGGAGGAAACTGGGAGAACATGCAAACTCCACACAGAAACGCCAACTGAGCCGAGGTACGAACCAGCGACCTTCTTTCTGTGAGGCGACAGCACTACCTACTGCGCCACTGCGTCGCCCAAAATAATAGGTTTTTACTTTATTTGGTAAACAAAGCAAGTCTCTCATATCATACATCTACTAAAAGACAGAAAATATTACTTCACAAACTGCATTGTACATAAATCAGATGAACATTTTCATTTTAGTCAATAATATTACTGTGATTAATAAAAACCTTAATAAAGTTAGATTTATACACATTTACTCAAGTAAATAAACAGAATTAATGATGGGCTAAACATCTGCAGAAATCTGTGGAAAATCAGCACGCGCAGATTCTGTGTGGGCCTAGTCATAGGTTTATAATGTGTCTAAATTAACTCTTTTTTTTTTTTTGGTCATACCAAATATATCTAAATATTTAAATGTCTGAATATAATGTTTGCAATGCATTACTAGTCTTATGCTTTGTTGTTTGTTTTTTATATGAGAGATTAGAACTGAGCTCTTCGGTTTCATTTTTAATACACTAAATATACATAACAATAATAAAAACACTAGTCAGCTTTAAAGCTATTTTCTTTTATTTCCTTTTTTATTTTTTTTATTTATTAAATCAAAATATTTGTTCTGTTTTTCACTTCTTTTTTCATTCAAATTCAGAATATAAGTATTTTTAGCCAGTCAGTCTAATGCATATGTTTACATTTATCTTGCATGAGAGTCACTCCATTCTGGTGTTTTTAATAATAGTTTTTATTCAGCTTCATAAAAAACATCTGGCCAACTGAATATTTAGAGTTACTCAACATGATTCCTGTGCAGTTACCTCCATGTGTGAGCAGTTTATTCATGTTAATGAGGTCTGTCTCCTCCTGCTGGTGATGTGCTGTACTGCACACAGGCAGCATTTACAGGACTTGTGTAGTGTTTAACAGGGACTGTGCTCATTAATCATCAGTAAGACTTTAAATACGACAAAGTTAGCCCATAAAGCATATTGGGTGTCACGGTGGCACAGTGGGTAGCAAGATCACCTCACAGCAAGAAGGTCGCTGGTTCGAGCCTCAGCTGGGTCATTTGGCATTTCTGTGTGGAGTTTGCATGTTCTCCCCGTGTTGGCGTAGGTTCCTCTGTGGTTTCCCCCACAGTCTAAACACATGCACTATAGGGGAATTGAGTAAGCTAAATTGTCCGTAGTGTATAATATGTGTGTGAAGGAGTGTGCATGGATGTTTTCCAGTGATGGATTGCAGCTGGAAGGGCATCCACTGTGTAAAACATATGCTGGATAAGTTGGCGGTTCATTCCACGGTGGTGACCCCAGAGTATTAAAGGGACTAAGCTGAAAATTAAATGAGTGAATAAACATGCTCACAATGTGTGTGTGTGTGTGTGTGTGTGTGTGTGTGTGTGTGTGTGTGTGTGTGTGTGTGTGTGTTTTTTTCAGGATCCAGCAGGAGTGAGTGAGTTCGAGCGTCTCCTCAAGGAGTCTCAGAAGGAGGTTTTGCGTCTGCAGAGACAGCTGTCCGTCACCGCTGCAGAAAACACTGCACAGGTCAGAGCTCTAACACACACTCTCAGATTGTGTTTATGCTGTATTTCACCAGGATATTCACCATCGAGATACAGAATCTCTTCCTCCAGGGCCAAAATGGCAGCACAAACAGTTTCACATTTAAGATAAATACAAACACATACAGATGAAGTCAGAATTGTTAGCCATGAATGAATCCAAACCGCACATCATGCAGGAAAGCCGCGTGTTAATCCTCTCAGTCATGAAGCTGATTTTTCTTACTGTGCACTTTTACGAGTCATTGATGTACATGGAGGATTCTTCCTGACTCATTCCCTTAGTCAAAGTCTGGGATTATTAATGGGTGTGTGTTTATGATCTGTTTCTGTGGGTTTTTTCAGGGCTTGTGTTGTGTTTACGCTGAATTGAGTGTTGATTCTGCTCTTATGTAATGGACTACACCATAATCTGTAATACAGGCTAATGAGCAACTCTACAGACCGAAGCTAATGCTGTGTGTGTGTGTGTGTGTGTGTGTGTGTGTGTGTGTGTTCATGCTTCAATATATGGATTATAAAGACACACATGTGTATATAATGACATCAGAGTTCGAGTGTAATCTTGGTTTATGCTTGTTTGCTCTTTATAATAAGGTCTGTCCCATCAGTCAACATTGATTATTGCATTTACTTACGTCAACTAACAATGAGCGATATGTTGCTTCTATTTTTTATTTTATTAATCTTTGTTAACCATGGTTGATAAAATAAAACAGTTTTTTTATTATGTTAAATGCTATAAGCAGAGGATTTATTATATTCAATGTTGCAGTTATTATCAACTAATAATAATAATAATATATGATGTTTTAGATGTATTTCTGATTGTTAGTTCATGCTAACTTATGGGTTTTACTAACATTAGCAGATAGAGTCTATTTATAAAACATTCATTCATCATTCATTCATTTATTTAATTATCATCCATCTATTTATTTGATTATATTTCTACCTATCCATCCATCCATCCATGCATCCATCCATCCATCCATCCATCCATTAATCTATCTTCATCCATCCATGTATTTAATTATCTTTCTATCTATCTATACACCATCCATCCATTTAATTATCCATCAATCCATCCATTTATTTAAGTATGTTTCTACCTTTCTATTCATCTCTCCATCCATCCATTTATTCAATTTTCTATTTACCAATCTATCCACCAATCCATCCATTTATTCAATCACTTTTTCTACCCATCTATTCATCTCTCTTTCCATCCATCCAATTTTTTAATTATCTTTCTACCTATCTTTTAATCTCTCTATCCATCCATCTATCTCTCCATCTATCTCTTCATCCATCCATCCATCCATTTATTTAATTATCTTTCTATCTATCTATACACCCATCCATTTATTTAATTATCCATCAATCCATCCATTTATTTAAGTATCTTTCTACCTTTCTATTCATCCATCCATCCATCCTTTTATCCATCTCTCCATCCATCCATTTATTTAATTATCTATTTACCAATCAATCCACCCATCCATCCATTTATTCAATCGCTTTTTCTACCTATCTATTCATCTCTCTTTCCATCCATCCATCCATCCATCCATCCATCCATCCATCCATCCATCCATCCAATTTTTTATTATCTTTCTACCTATCATTTTATCTCTCCATCCATCCATCTCTGCATCCATCCATGTATTTAATTATCTTTCTATCTATCTATACACCATTCATCCATTTAATTATCCATCAATCCATCCTTTTATTTAAGTATCTTTCTACCTTTCTATTCATCTCTCCATCCATCCATTTATTTAATTATCTTTTTGCCAATCCATCCACCCACCCATCCATTTATTCAATCACTTTTTCTACCCATCCATTCATCTCTCTTTCTATCCATCCATCCATCCAATTTTTTAATTATCTTTCTACCTATCTTTTAATCTCTCCATCCATCCATCTCTCCCTCCATCCATTTATTTAATTGTCTTTCTACCCACCCATACATACATTTAATTATCTTTCTACCTATTCTTCTCTCTATCCATCATCCATTATTTATTTAATTATCATTCTACCTATACATCCATCCATTTAATTAACCATCTGTCCATTTAATTATCTTTCTATCTATTCATCTATCCATCCATCTCTCCATCCATTTATTTAATTATCTATTTACCAATCCATCCACCTATCCATCCATTTATTCAATCACTTTTTCTACCCATCTATTCATCTCTCTTTCCATCCATCCATCCATCCATTCATCCATCCATCCATTCAATTTTTTAATTATCTTTCTACCTATCATTTTATCTCTCCATCCATCCATCTATCTTTCCATCCATCCATCCATCCATCCATCCATCCATGTATTTAATTATCTTTCTATCTATCTATACACCCATCCATCCATTTAATTATCCATCAATCTTCCATTTAAGTATGTTTCTACCTTTCTATTAATCTCTCCATCCATCCATTTATTTAATTATCTTTTTGCCAATAAATCCACCCACCCATCCATTTATTCAATCACTTTTTCTACCCATCTATTCATCTCTCTTTCTATCCATCCATCCATCCATCCATCCATCCATCCATCCATCCATCCATCCATCCATCCATCCATCCATCCATCCATCCATCCATCCATCCATCCATCCATCCATCCATCCATCCATCCATCCATCCATCCATCCATCAAATTTTTTAATTATCTTTCTACCTATCTTTTAATCTCTCCATCCATCCATTTATTTAATTGTCTTTCTACCCACCCATACATCCACCCATCCATCAATGCATCCATCCATTTAATTATCTTTCTACCTATTCTTCTCTCTATCCATCATCCATTAATTTATTTAATTATCCTTCTACCTATACATCCATCCATTTAATTGACTATCTGTCCATTAAATTATCTTTCTTTCTATCTATTCATCTCTCTATTCATCTCTCCATCCATCCATTCACTCATCCATCCATCCTATTATCTATTTAAATTTCTACCGTGTTCACCATCGCAAAAGTGCATGCATTCACCAGGATTAAACTAATATTGCAGCTCATGAAAAGACTGGGATTGCTTTTAAGATGACGTATGCAAATAGTAAGTTATATGTCAAGATCAGCTTTGCATTATTAGACGCCACCCGTGAGAACAGCACAATTATTATTGTTGACTCATCTCTCTGTTCATCTCATTCATGTCAAGCAGTCTAAGCAGGGCCGGTGGACGCTTGCAGATTTTTTTTTTCTTTGTTAGTTTAGATTATTAATTTCAAAATTTATGGATATCCACTTTACCAACCCTGTAATGATTAATGCCATTGTTTATGCATAATGGCACCAATAGTTAATGCAAGAAAAAAGTCTGAAACTGGCAAATTTAGCGCACTGTAAGAGTTCACAAGACTGATTTCTCATAAAATAGGTGTTTGTTTCTACATAAAACCTAAAAGTAAAGTCAAATTAGATGCATAGTTTGACCTAAAGTAGGCCTAAAATAGCTAATCAGGTCAGAATACACTAAATAGCCTTTTTTGTTTACATTTACATTTAGTCATTTAGCAGACGCTTTTATCCAAAGCGACTTACAAATGAGGACAAGGAAGCAATTTACACAACTATAAGAGCAACAATGAATAAGTGCTGTAGGCAAGTTTCAGGTATGTAAAGTCTAAGATGGAAAGTATTAGTAATTTATTTTTTATAATTATTTTTTTTATTTTGTAGTACAGTTAGCGGTGAAGCCAGAAAGGCAATTGCAGATTAGGAAGTGAAGTGGAGGCTAAATAGTTGAGTTTTTAGTGGTTTCTTGAAGACAGCGAGTGACTCTGCTGTTCTGATGCAGTTAGGGAGTTCATTCCACCAACTGGGCAGATTGAACGCGAGCGTTCGCGAAAGTGATTTCTTCCCTCTTTGGGATGGAACCACGAGGCGACGTTCATTCACAGAACGCAAGTTTCTGGAGGACACATACATCTGCAGAAGTGAGAGCAGATAAGAAGGGGAAAATCCAGAAGTCGCTTTGTAGGCAAACATCAGAGCTTTGAATTTGATGCGAGCAGCAACTGGCAGCCAGTGCAAACGGATGAGCAGTGGAGTGACGTGCTCTTTTAGGTTCATTAAAGACCACTAATGCTGCTGCGTTCTGAAGCAGCTGAAGAGGTTTGATAGCTCACTGTTAGCTACTCTTTTAACAAATAACAATTTAAGAATGATAATTATGATGATGAAAATAAGGGACGGAAACCCCTGTGTTTTGTATTATTTTTTTAATCAAAAACGGTTTAATAAAGTTTTAATAAAGACTTTAACTCTCAAGTAACCCTTTATGGGAAGGATTACCAAATACTGAATATATATCGTATATCGTCATTCCTCCTAAAAATACTGAGATATGATTTTTTGCCCCTATCGCCCAGCCTTAACATTTAAATAGCAAATGCTCATTAGAAGAATAAGCACAACCCTGTTAGACCATGCACCGGGACACAGCATATTTTACCATCCTTAAAGTAGTAAAAGTGGATTCAGACACGCTATTAATGCTTTTGCGTCATGAGCTTTAGATTTTGAGCTTAGATCGGTAAAATAGAGCCCCTAGTGTAGAAACTAGGCATACTTGTGTTTCAGCAAGTTGTATTTAAGCTCTACAGGACATCAGCCCTCCAGATTGGAGTTTGTGCACCCATGCACTCCAAGCGTTGTTAGTAAGCCTGTATATTCCACAATGATGCGGTCAGAAAAGTGTGAAACCACTGACCATTTGAAGTTTCAATCTCAGCTGTGCTGTAAAGCCTGGATGAGAATGCCAGTACGGGTAATCTGCTCATTTCCAACACACACACACACACAGAAAGAAAGGGGCCATGTTGTGCACTATAATCCCCTTTGACAGCCGAATGGTACGGTCCCATAATCCTCTGGCTGTTACCGTGGCAGCGTTGAGACGTTTCCTATGGTAGATACGACTTCAGCCCAAAGCCAACCAAAGAT